TAGGCTGAGGGGGTGTGGTGAAGTGAGCAGGCAGAGGTGCAGGTTGACAGTTGAGAATAATAAACATGAACAGAAACTATGACCAGAAGGGCAGAAAACATGGCATGTCATGAAAGGGCAGAGAAGTGAGCAGATGAGAGGCCGGACCGCTGATCATGACAATTTAGCACACTTTTCTAAGAGGTAACCCATTGTTTTCCAGTACTGGTCCTCCGAGCACTGTTCTTCATGCTGTTCCTGCTCCTACACACCTGAGTCCAACGAATGAATGACTCGTCATCGAGTTGTTTGGAAGTATGATTGCTACTCCTCATTTTCAACCAGAAGCAATATCTAAAATAAGTAAGGCAGAATGTCCCAAGTACTAAGATCTGGAAATATTCGTACAATCATTTGTTGGCAAAAAACATACTCTTTCTAAACATGTGCCTTATTTCATTTATTGGACATTTGGAGGCAGTAGAAACAGATTTAAAACACATCACTTACATATATGAACCTAAAAGTTGAGCTGGATAATTTGTTAGCTTGGGTTCCTTTGGGCTGTTTCAAGCTTCAGCAGCAATGACCAGTGGCAAATATGCGCACAAATTAAGTATCAAATTAAGTAATGTTTAACTGAATGTTTAAATGCAGGAATTTTTAAAAAGGCATTAAAAGCTAAACTGATATCAGGTTATGTGCATTCAGAGATCAATATTTGCAGAAATCCATCCGTCCATGTTATCTTTACCCGCATCTTCATTTTTGAGTCACGGATCACTGGTGCCCATGTCCAGCAATCACTGTGCAAGAGGAGAGGGACACCCTGGACAGGTCTCCAGTCCATCACAGGGCCACATTAAGGCAAATGAGACAAACAACCATTCACTCTCTCACTTAGAGACAATTTAGAGTTACCAATCAGCCTAACATGCATGTTTTTGGTGTGTGGTAGGAAACTGGAGTACCCGGAGAAAACCCAAGCACGCAATGTCATAAGAACATAATGTAATAATAATAAGCTCTCAGAAATTGGTTTCTCAGGTCACACCATTGGTTGGTTCACTAACTCTCTCAGATCAGAGGCAATGTGTTAAACATAATGGTACTTCTTCCAGTTATCTCACTGTTAACAATGGTGTACCACACAAGGTTCAGTCTTAGGACCCACTCTCTTTACAATCTACATAGGTAATGTACTATAAGTCAGAGCATCCCTGATGCGTCCTTACATTTCTATGCTGATGATACAGATGTTTATTGTCTAGTTAAAACAGTTGCTAAGGCTTTCCATGTTTTACAATCTGCTTTTGACATCATCCAGTCAGATTTGTTCTGTCTCAAACTTGTACAAAATGCTGACAAAATCAAAGGGATGTTGTGTTCAAACAGGAAGTCGGTCCCAGCAGTTCTTCCTTCAATTTTTATCCTCGAATGGTGTTCCTATTGAGTTTGTCAATTCGTACAAATATTTGGGTATCTTGGTCGACTCACATATCTTTTTTTAAGCTCCACGTGGAAAACTTGGTGAGGAAACTGAAAATTAAATTGGGTTTCTTTTTCAGAAATAGATCCTGTTTAATTCTGAATACTAAGAAACACCTTGTAACTGTGACTTTCCTTTCCTTCATTGACTATGATGACATTATTTAAACGAACGCTCCTACAAACTCCCTGCAGATGTTGGATGCTATCTATCATGGTTCACTAAGATTCATAACTGGCTGTAACTACCATACCCATCACTGAACCCTGTATTCACTGGTTAACTGGACATCATTAACTTCATACAGACTCTCTCACATACATTTTCATATGTAAATCACTTCTTGGTCTGCTGCCTTCATACATCTCTTCCTACATGTCTCTGCATGAGTGCAGCTACAGCTTGCACTCTCAGGACATTATTACATGCAGTGTCCCCTCAGTGCGGACTGAACTTGGCAAAAGGACCTTTTCCTACTCTGCTCCTGTTTCCTGGAATATTTTGCAAAAGATCTGAAGCTCTTGACCCTGACCTCTCTAAGTGGCTTCAAAGATCTGCTAAGTTCATGGGAAAAAACATTGCAGACATGTTCCTGTTTTTAGTTTTCTACACCGCTTTATAATGTAGCTGTTTTTGTTTCAGGGATTTTTTTATATAATTTTTCTTCCATTTAATTTCAATTTGTATGCTTTCCCTTATGATTGTCTACTGTTGTCATCACTCTTTGTTAAAACCAGGTCTCTTTTGTAAATGAGTCCCCGAGGCTCAATGAGACTAACCTGTATAAATAAAGGTTGAAATAATGCACAGAGAGAACATGCAAACTCCACCTAGAAAGGCCCCCGGCCAGGACTTGAAACAGGGCAACCTGCTTGCTGAGAGGCGGCAGCTCTACCAACTGAGCCACTGTGCTGCCCTTTGAGCAAATCAGTCTAATGATTGTTGTTTTCCAGATGATGAGTAAATGGATGTCACCAAAACCTGTCCTATACTGTATGTGTCAACATGTTTGACATCCATCCATCCATTTTATTTGCCAACTTTTACTTTCTGTGTTGCAGGGAGCTGCTGTATATCCCCTGCAATCACTGTGTGAGAGACGTGGTACATCCTGAGCTGGACCCAAGTCCATAACAGGGCACCATAGAGACAACATTCTTACCCACACTTAAAGTCACCAGTTAACCTAACATGCATGCTGTTGGTGTGTGAGAAGAAACTGGAGTACCAGGAAGAAATGCATGCATGCATGAGGAGAACATGTAGACGCCACACAAAAATGCCTCCAGCCAGGATTCTGTGACCATCTCACTAAGAGGTGACAGCCATAACCACTGTTCCACCATGCCACATAATAAGGCTCAAAAACAGAAACCAATAAAACTTGTTTTTGTAAAAACTGTCTTATTACTGACATCGGTTTACACAACTAACATGTTCAGGTGGTTTCAAAACCTAAATTTCAGGGTCACAGTGAGTGAAATAAACAGAAACCAAATGAGGTAAATGGTAAATGGACTGCACTTATATAGCGCTTTTCTATTTGATCAAGATACTCAGAGCACTTTACAACACAATCTGTGTCCTCATTTACCCATTCATACAGCACTCTACTATATCTGTACAAAGAACAATCAGTGCTTTATCACATTCATACATCGTTGGGACACACATCGGAGGCATTTAGGGGTTCAGTGTCTTGCCCAGGGACACTTCGGCATGTGACTGCTGGTGGAATCGAACCCCCAACTCTCCTATTGGAGGATGACTGCTCTAACCACTCAGCCACAGCCGCCCAGAGGTATGATGATGGGTGAGCTATAACACAACAGGCATGTAAAGAAACAATATTTATGTTGTTCAAAATATCCTGATGCATGCTCAATAATCCAGGTAGAAAAATCTAAAAAAGTTAAATCTGGTCCTCTGGACATTCAAAAAAACAAAACAAAGCTAATGCTAGTGTGCTAATGATCCATTGTTAGGCTGATGGTCCTTCTTGAGCATGTGATCAGCTGGTTTTGGTTGTCAGCAGCAAAACTGGTTGATCCACTCTGAGACGGTGCTATTTAAGAGACTGAGCTGAATACAGCTCCTCAGACTGAGGAAGTCTCTCGGATGAGAGACGAAACGTTTCTACATTTTTTTGTTGATTTGCTTTGTTTTGTTTTTTTGAATGTCCAGAGGACAAGATTTAACTTTTTTAGATAAATATTTATGTTGATGATTCTTTGTCTCTTTATGGCCACTTTATGATTTTTTTGAGTAATGTAGTTATAAATCTTATTAGTAATGAAATGACATTTTGCTGCTGCATGTCACTGAGACAGTCATTTGAACAATGCCTTTGTTAAACACACTCTGCAATAAACTGGTTCAGTGAAATGAAAGTGTTTTAAGAAACTATGTTCAATAAATAATTTTAAAACACAAATACGTGTTCAAAATCATTGACCTACACCACTGCCTCTCTCCTTTGACCAAGCTGGTCTGAACATGTGTAAACCTTGACCAGCTTTACAATTATCTCAGCTAACAGACAAATACAATTTCCACTAAAAGAATAAACATGTAACTGAATGCAAAAGTTGTCATTATGCCAAAAATATATATCTAGCATATTTTGATACATCAAAGTGTATGTCCACAATGTGTGGAGTGGTTTGACTGACAGTAACATATGGTGGTGATCGGGAACGTTTAGTCTCTTTCATCAGACTGGGTCACTTCCAGAGAATGTGAGTGATCTCCAGTCTTACTTCCTTTCTGTGCTGTAATGCTTTTCCAGCTCTCATTTTTCAACCATTGAGCCAAATCCAACAGATGATGCAGCAATGGTTCGATTATACTGTGGCAACACATTATGAAGAAGTCATTAGGCTTACAATTATTCTTGCCTTTTTTTTATAACTTTTTAAAAATCTTTTTACAGGGGGAAAACAAGGAAGCCAGAGAACGTTGAGTATTGCCATCCACCGACTAGGTTTCCTTTTTCCAGCTTGAGGTAAACTTTGTCCTCTTTTTCGAGATAAAGTAGAACTCCGTTGGTAGCAGCTTCACGAGTTACGTCTTTGTCGCCTGCAAAAGCAGAGATGACTGGCTTCCCATTTAACATCAAGTTCACCTGGAGAAGAAAGAAACATGACAATTAGCAACACTTCCAGGAAACAGATGGCAATAAAAACTTTTTTTAATCAATAAACTCTAAACTCAATGCCCTTTTGTAAATCTTACCACTGATTAGTATTGATTGTGCATCATATGAGAATACAACAGATTTTTGGTTCGTAAACATTTTAACCTTGAGTATGCATTTCCATAGATTTATGTATTAAGTTGCAGAAAAGTAGGAGAGGCAGAACTGTGTCCATGATGAGATTTTAAAAGAACATCTTTATGATTTGTACTTTTCAAGGTTCAAGGATTCAAGGATTTAAAGTCCTTTATTTGTCATTCGCACCCCATGTGGTACATGTGGTGGAACGAAATTATGTACACAAGATCCCAGTTACATCCAACAATAAAATGTAAAAGAAAAACTGTGATAAGATCTAAGGTATGAACTACGAAAAACATCAACTAAATATACATATTATATATATAAATACTTTAAGGGTCCCACTGCCTGCAGCCTGCCTTGCTGATGGCCGCTGATTACCAACACCTGGCGGCCATCAGCCCGATGAGCCTCTCCATCTACTTAAGGCTGCAGTCCGGTGTGACTCATCGCTGGAGCATATCACCTCTTATGGTATAGCACTGTTGTGAGGGAAATGTCTTGGTGAAAATAATTTGTTCACCGTTGCTCTTTTTTCCAGTTTCCTGGTTCCTCGTGCTTTTTGGATTCCCTCGTGACCTGACCTGGATCCCTCGGCCTGTCAGGTATCCCTCGTGCCTCTTTGCCTCCAGTTGCCAGCCTTCCTCGTTTCCCTTTGGACCCTTGTTGGATTTCCCTCTGCTGCTCGCTCTCCCTGGACTGAAGGACCAGCTCACCTCCTCGGGTTTGGACTGTAAGGACAAACGCTCATTTACCAAACCACTCTGGCCTTCCCCGTTGGACAACTATTAACCTGTCGTCCCTCTTTCCAGGAGTCTCTGAGAAGCAGCTTGTGGACGTTCAAAATTCACTGTACATAATTGTAGATGAACAGATGCTGGGATATATTCATCATTTAACGCGGGTTCCTCATTTTTCTGGACTGAATAAAACGTGCATTGAATTTAAGGAAATGCAAACGTGAGACGTCATTTATATTTGACCCATCAAAATGAATGCGGTCATTTATTTACAGAATCAAATTTAACATCAAACCTTTACATTAATTTGGCAAATTATGAAAATAACAATATAAGCAATCAATCAGGAAAAATCATACGGCCATGATTTTTCCGTTGCTGCACCACAGACATTTATAAAACTGTACAACTATGATCTTTTACCCACACGGATGTGAATAAGCACTTTACACAGACATTTCTAAATATCTGGGAGAATTTCTACTTGATAGAAAGTTAAAGATGAAAGAAGTTAAAGGGAGTAAGATTGAATGGGAAGGGAGGAATGTTCACCAGAACCGACACTCTCCATCAGAAGCCCAGCTCTCCTTCGGTACGCTTGGTAGGAAACTTGATCCATTACCTTTCTGAAGATTTATCAGCAGATATGGAATTCCGTTAACGCTACCTGTCCAGCGTCTCCTGATAGTGGCTGTAGCTCGTCAGAAGTAGTGGCTAGTGAAAGTTATAATCCCATGGAACTCGGAAGAGCCTTTTGTCATGTCAAGATCATCCCGTCTCTAACAGAACTTGAGCAGAACCAGCAGAAAACTCTCCAGCACTCCAGCAACTTCAGAACTCCAGAACTCTAGAAGTCTGACAACTCTCCAACTCTGTAACTCTGTGTAGACCAGGAAGTACTGACATTTTAAAGACTCTTTCCCGGTTCACTTTTTGGGATTTTTCATTGGTCAGAAACGACCAGACGGGGTGGGTTTTGTGACGTAAGAGGTTAGAGACAGCGAGAATTGTTATGGGACAGCTCAGAAATGTTCTCACAGACCGAGAGGGTTTTGTTTTGGCGTGTTTCAGGAAACAGGTGCAAAACATCTCTACTTACGTCTGAGAGGATTCTAAAACATGACAGTTTTAACATAACAACTTGTTTTTCGTTTGACTGTAACCTTGTAAACGCACACACTTGCTCATTCAAAAGCAGAAATCAGAAAATGCATAAACTCTGCAACAGCTTTTAACATGAGAATAAAAATCATTACTCAGTTAATAAAATTGATTAGTTCACTGCAACATCTAAAATGGTTTGAACTAAGACACTTTGATTATCAACATTTGTAAGATAGTAATGATAATAAAAAGAGAGTGTTCTTTTCACTTGAATCTTCAAGAAAGAAAGTCTCAGGATGGGTGAACCTGTATTTATGGATTCAAATACATGAAATGACAGCTTCTGTCCCACAAGGTTCTAAAGGTCAAGAGTTTTGACCTTAGACTGGGTTTCGACGTAGGCCTAGTCCACTACAGTCCCCCCTTTGGAAATCATCACCTGTCCATGGAGATGAATTCCAACTATGGACTTACGTCGTCGATTGTCCTTGAAGCTTGATGTAATCCAGCAAAGAAACAAGAGTCAAGAGTAATCCAGCAAGGAAAACAAAAGTCAAGGTAATTCCACAATGTTCTTGGTAATTCCATTGTGTTGATTATAATTCCATAACGTCTCGATAATTCCATTGTGGCAATGCTTTAACCCCTTGGAAACAGAGTCTGTAATCCACTGGAAAAAGTCATATAATCCACAACGGTAAATCCACAACGATTGGAAGTGTTGATTAATCAGCATACAGAGGGGTACCCTTGGCTTGAACTGAAGAAGCGGCCACCGGATGAAGAGTGGAGACCAACGTCAGGATTGCAGGTCGCCTCCAGCGAAGGTTGTCTCCAGCGACGTCCAGCCTGTGCCGTTCTGGTTCAATGTGTCATGCAATTATGTGGTTTAAGGTGGGCTTATGAAGGGGATTTTACATAAGGCCTTAAACTATATGCACCTGGTGTGTAAGCTATTATGGTTGGGAACAGCTACGACTACCAGTTAAGGGGTGGAGCATGCTGAAAAGGGGTAACTACAGGGGTTTAAGCCTATAGAAAAGGGTTCCAAACTACTTTTCCATTTCTAACTTGGGTTAAGTTAGCTTTACATGGCAAAATATAGTTTGGTTCAAATGTCTGTTGTCTTTTAGACGAACGACTTGAGATTGGGTGTTTGGTTTCCCCATAAATGTTTTGGAAGTCTATGGCGAGACTTATCAAAAAGAATTAGCTATCCCCCCGAATAGAATTGTTCGAGTAGGTTCGGCTTAAGCGTTGTGAGATCAATGTAGATTATGGTACTTAAAGTAGCAATAATATACATTGACTCCGCAAAGATTGCAATTTAATGAATGAACTGCATGTTGGCATGGTCAAAGGCTTCTTAGTCTCTAACTTACTTCACACAAGATTCATTCTTACCTCAGAAACAACCAAAATCAACTAAACAACGGTTCAACACCGACAAGAGTAGTGACTAAGCATCTAGAAACATCGTTTCACTGCTCCTCCTCACCCTGGTTGTCAGTTTCAGTCACGTTGTCCCGTGTGAGTGGCTTCTTTGCGGACCCGCTTACGCGAGGCATAATCATATCCAGGTGCGCTGCATGGCGATCCACGTCGACTCGGAGTGACGTTTGGCCCCGGGACAGGGATGCGAGTATCCCACACAATACGAGGGTTATCGTCATTAGCAGGGCTATGATTAATGTGTCCGCGCTCGACCACGCATAGTTAATTGGTTGGATCGGGTTCTTAGTTGTGGACCTGAGGGACTTGAGAACTTGGTTTATTGGTTCCACGTCGACGACTTGGGTGCCTTCAAAACGGATCCTTCCCAGAGTCTCTGGATCTATGTCTATAGACATATTTCCTAGGTACTCTGAGTCATCCAGAGTCGCGTCCCATCGTTCCGGATCGAGGTGATAGAGCGTCAAATCACCAATGTGTATGGTTGTTCCCTGGGGAACACTGATCCACATCGTTTTGTCCGGTAACGCCAAAGGTCTATTTGCCCCGGGTTGATCGTAGGCTATGATCGCCTGTCTTTGAGGAGCGTTCACTAGCCAACGAGAGCCAATTATTTCCGCTTTTGCATCTTTAGCCAGGTGTCGAGGCGTTACGGTCGTTGAGCACTTAGAATTTTCCGGAATAGGTGTTAATCCGCATATGCCCGCGGTTTTATTCCACATAAACGGTTTGCTCGGGCACAGATAGTGTATCTCCCGAGTGAGAACACACATCTGCAGGTTTGGAGCTAGGTAAACGGAGGGGTTGTCGTCGTGGTACGCAACCATCCTTGGTGTGTCAATTTGAACATGGTTTTCGCCGTGCCAATTGCCAACATTTACGACGTCCCTGAGTCTATATATGCCGTTTGAGGGAATTATCGGTAGGTTGATAATGAACGCCATTTCAAATGTTTTGTGATTGACGTAGATTGGGATTGCGCTACCGAGAGTGTAAGCCAGGTGTGCGACAGCGTAATCCGCTTCAACCTTAAGGGCTAACTCATTTACCGCTTGTACGAGGGCTTTGTTTTCTTGGGTGGCACCCAAGAGGGTGAAGATTATCAGGAGTGGTACCATCATTGTCCTATGGAAGCACAAAGAGGTAGGTCTTAGCTTCGTGGTGGTCAAGGGTAGGTCCTGTGAATTTAAACTATGGTTAAGTTTCTTATCCATTAGTTATCTTCTGCTTGGATGACCCTTATTCCCACGAGGTCAGATTTTGTGAGATCTTTGTCTCCTGAGGAGTTGTTGCACGCCTTGTGTTGTTTAACCTGGTTACGATGTACCCATTTAACAGTTGGCTCTTTTTGGCCTTTACTGATTTTTATCTGGTAGATAATTGGAGACACTTTGTCGGTTATCAGATGGGGTCCAGTCCATCTGGGCATCAGCTTACGGGCGAGAGTTCCGGTCCCGGACTCTCTTCTCCCAGTTTTGGGTGCAAACATGTAGTACCAGACCCTGTCTCCCACTTGGAGTTCCTCGTGAGAGGCCTTTTGGTCGTAGTACG